GCTGTTTGTCCTGTGCTTCACAACTGTCATGAGGAGTATTCGCGTCATAGAGCTGATCACCGTGGATCACACAGATTTCTCCATCAAACTGATTCCCATTGAGAGTTTATCAAAGAGATCAGAGTTCAGTTGATGGCAGGTTCCTCCCCCGTTTTTCTCTCTCTACTCTTGCGATCTGAAACGCACTGTATTACTTGGTACTATTGTGCAATTAGATGTTAATGCGCATTGGACGGTTTGATTGTCCAGGTATATCGTTTTCAATCACCGGGCCTTCAAAATATCTGAGTTCTCTCGATGGTAGAGGGAGCTCCGATCTCACCCCCAAAAAACGTACTCAAGTAGCAGTTCAGTTCAGTTCGAGCAATCATTACCCATGCACCTTCGTGCGCCAGTTTTGGTTACTGTCTTTTGGCTGCCCATTTGGATGAACAGTAAGAGAAAGACAGGAAAGTTGAGAGTGGAACCGAAGAGAAAATTGAAAATTTCATTGGAATGTCGCAAAGAAAATGAGAAGATACACGAACGCCACTGTTTACGACACGCAGCCATATCGCACAGTGCCCCTAACCATCGATCACGATTGTCCCGAGGTTCCCATCCAGGACTTATATGACCCAGACTGCTGGTCAGGGTTTTGATATCCGCATGCAAGGTATTAGCTTGACCACCCTTGGCTCTGTTCCACCCACTATCTACCTCGTCTCTCAAATGATCCACTAGGAAGTCCTATATGCTGCATTCTCGTGGCGAAGGGTGATTTCACTGCAGCGTGAAAACCGCGTTTTGGAGACACCAGCACCAAATGATCTACGGTCGTTAAAAGCCACATCACAGCCTTGTTAGCCGTTGGCATGTCGTGATTTACTGACTTCGACTTGGGCAACATATAGTTATATCGCGCCCATAAACAAACCAGGCGACCTGGATGATAAATATCCGCAGTGAGGTGCTCAAAAGGGATATTAAAAGGCTTTCCACATTCTTAGCATATTTGTCTAGCAACCATAAGCCAGTTCTGCTCTATGGCTGCGAGATCCTAAATTGCGCATAGAAGATATTTATCGTCTTGAAGTATTCGATTGCAGATGTTTACGTAGTTTGGCTCGGGTTGGATGGATCGACCTTGTAAGCAACTCTGAGGTAAGGCGTCCCGTATTTGGTAGTGATTCGATGGAGAATTCGTTGTCCCATCGAATTCAGATTAGTCCGCTTCGCTGTTTAGGATACGTATTGCGCATGCCCAACCATCGTCTGCCGCACCGCGCCTTATTCGCAGTTGCGGCTCCAGGTTGGAAGAAACCGCCTGGAGGTCAACAGATGACATGGAGGCAAGGCATGAAGAAATGCACAGAGCGATTAGGTAGAATCGGTGTCTCCCGTCTTCCAGGTTGGGGTCCGAAAGACTCTGCAACTGGCTGGCTGGAGATATTAAAGGATATGGCGACTAACCGACAGCAGTGGCGTTCTTGTTGTCATTTCTTAACAAGTCAGGATGCTTGAAAAGGTATGTATGAACACTCAGATTGTGTACTCTGTGTTGAACATAGAGGTTCACTTTATTTACCTCCCTCCAAGTAAGCCTAATCCCTCATCATCTTGTGCTTTTTTACTTGATTTGTGTACACTGTGAGCTTGGCAGCGATCAGTGAAGCTCGCTTCACCGTATCTCGCTGTACGATGATGATGATGTCTACAAGTAGCGAGATTTCCCGTGAAATTCTGTCACTTTATCGTTTCACAACATACAAAATCATGCTTTTCGTTATCCACAAAAATCATGAGCGACCGTTAGCATTCGTTACACGCAGATTTTACAGTGTGTCCTCTTCCCTCGCCCGGCCCATTATAACTGTCTATTTGCTCGCACAATCAACTGTCGTTCTTCTGTAGTACCTCAGCTTGCACCTCTTGTTAACCCAGAACGCTTCTGAACTAAATTCACTCCTGTAGTAAACTGTTTTGTTTTGAACTTGTTTTTCACAATTCTGGTGTAATTTTTCTTGACAATTGGTTCTATTTTGACTAGGTGGATGTTGAATATTTACCCTTCGGGGTGCACAACGCAAATACTTGAGGAATTTCTTGGTCATACAGATTGCTGCAGCATGACTTGTTTGATAAAGCTCGGATTCAAAACAAAATGGGATACACATAGAATTGTGCTTTTGTAGAATATCAATTTTCGTGAATTTATGGCCACATTTATTCGTGGCGGTGATCAAATTGATGTTGACAACTTCAAGCAATCCAAATAAGGTTGATGGCATTGCCGAGTGACACTGGGGACGTCGCTCGTACCAAACTCCCAAGGAACTTAATGATCATGTCATCCACGGCGGTAATCAGAGACTATCATGGAGCCGGATTATCCTTTCCAAGGAGCCAGCCGCAGTAAAAATAAGTCATCTACGTGGATTGATCCGATCACGACCGCCCACACCCGGATATCTGATGATAGATCATGGTAGAGAGTTGGGAGATCGTTAATCCGCACTATTTGAATGCAGTTAAATGCGATGGAAATTCTTGTGAAGTTTCAGCCCGAAGAATAGCGGTTCGGGTCCTGACAGGGACACAAAAAGGTACGCACTGCTGACGAATCCCAAACAAGAAGAAACAGCTGTCTAGTGCTCTTTGTTGGTTATCACAAACAGTTCCACCGGCAGTCTATTTCTAACTTCTTTTCTTAATGGCTAAGTCTCTGCGCCGTATAATAGAACTGACCGAACTGCCGTGGCATACACTCGACCCTTCACAGATAATCGGATATCGCGACCGTACCACAGATGTCTCAAGGTAGCAAATGCCAACCGAGCCTTCTGTGTGCGAGCTGACATGATCCACTATCGAATTTGCTGTAGTATCATCTGGCACAATCAAAGTGTTTCTATACGTGCAAAGGAAGCACGTTACGTTTGATTTAGATCAGGTCCGTCTATGGGAGTTAGTTGCAAGAATTCGCAAAAAATCTTCCCACAAGTAACGTTTCGGTGATATACCATGAAACGAATGAGGGCTAATCAGATACTACCAAGACGGAAGTATAGTCTAACATGGAGGCAGTTTCCACACGAAGGGAGCGTCCGAGTAACGTTTGCCACCTCGTTTTCCTTTATTTATCAGTGCAACACGTAATCTGATGAATAAAGTATTAGGAATAGCAAATGCCCTTTTTCAGTGCACTGTGGGAGGAAATAAACTTTATAAACTTCTTTTATACAGTCAATGTAGAAAAGACAACGTTCGAGCGAGGCGTCATTTAGAGAAAAAAGAACAGTTTATTGTACCAGTATATGGAAGGGATCACAGAACATACGGACTATATAATACCGATCACATAGCGCACTTATTGATTGCTGACAGGGAGCGTATGCAGAAACAGTGTTTTTGGTTATTATTATTATTATTATCAATAGCACTGGCTGATACTGTTACAACACAGATCACTAAAACAACACCGGGAACCGTCAAAAGCAATCTGTGCTTTGCCTGGTCCCAGTCGGGCAACACGGGTGGATTGATATTGTGTGCTACAATTCACCTAAGCCGCGTGGTGTGCCGGGCATTTGACGCAGGGGGGCAATGTGGTTTTGGCAATCCGTTGTGTTCTGGTTTGGCAATCTGTGTGTGGCTTGAAAAGATACAGTATACGCACCCGCAACACAGCTGATAGGGGCTAGATAGCGATGAAATGGAAACAGAGTGGCGTACCGAGGTGCCTGAGTGAGAGAGAATACAACTCTGAGTCAGTACAGTACAGTGCGGATGTGCGAAACTGTTCATGTGAGAACAGGAAACACCAAGGCTACGGTCTGTTCGGTCATTTGGCTGAACGCCAAGCAGTTTTACGTCTGTGTGTGTGTGTGTCACGTGTCGTTGTCATAGAAAGTGAACTGCAGAACATGTGGTGACCATCTCTCGCGCGCTCTCTAGTCCGAAGAGATGTCGATGAGAAAACAGGAAGAAGGCATCAATAGTAAGCGGTGATTAAAATGATAAGAAACGGCGCGATCTCTACCAGATGTTTATCAGAAACAATTTGTGTTGCAACGAAGAACAAAACAAGGCTGTGGAAAATTTATTTCGCATGACAAACGTGTGAGAACGAGGAACTTCGGTCCCCAATGGCGTGGTATTCAACCGAGAACTGATTCGGGTTTTGAGCAGTTCGTGAGCGTGTTTGAAAGCACTATGGTACGGTTCAATAAACTCACCAAGACAAGAGCTATCTAGTGTTCAGAGCGTGTGCTGTACAAAAGTGTACGCGGCGTCCATGCGCGAGTTCAAATCCGACCAAGGTTACTGAACTTTTCACAATCTCAACATAAAACTGCAATGCACCAAACAGCAATGTAAACAGTAAACCATAAACATTTAACAAAAATCACGATGAATAACGCACCCATCTCCATCTCACCTTATCCCATGAGACGGGTTGACCATCCGGGACTCCACGACGCGTCTAAATAAATTTTTTTATAAAAAAACAAGGATTAAGGGAGAATAGTATGAAGAACGTTCAAATAGAACTCCAGTAAGATAGACACATCAACACACATTAAACCTGTGAATCGTGGGAATGGGTTACCAAAGGAAAGAGAAAAATATCCGATTCCCTTTACCAATCACCACAACGGTGTGCACGTGGAAGAACATACAAGAAACACAGAGAGAAAAGTGGAAAAAAGATTTGGACAAACAAACGATAAAATCGAGTGCAAACTGGAAGCAAAGCAGTGTCACACGATTGTGATCAATCAAGCGATTCCGGTGATAATGTGAACGACCGTAGCAGCCAGCGAAAACAAGTCGACAAATGGAGTAAAACACTGTTAATACAAAGAGCGTTTTTGTTTAGACAACAGTGAACAAGAAAATGTGCCCGCTCCGTTCCTGATGTACTTCTGATTGCGGAGAATGCCTGCCCACCCCGTCCGTTCTAATAAATTAAATCAGAGAGACGCGTTCGGTCGAGTGCAAAAACCGTTCCGAGACCTCTCTCTGGTACACATCAACGGTTAAGCAGTGAATATTTCCAGGCATAAAATCTACAAATGACGGATCACTGAACATATATCCGAACGGGTTCAACATCGGATGATGCAATGGTGCCAAATTGCATGGCTTAGCGACAACCATCGTACATCCAGGACTCCACTGGGTTGATCGAAAAGCTGCGTCGGAAACTCCTGGCTACGAGCAGCAAGAATTTATTGCCACACACAATCCGATGGTCAGGATCCTGTTTGTCACCTTTTCTATTCGAGAGAAGCGTGTGTTTACGAATTTCACTCCGAAACAGCCCCTATTCGCAGCGTGTACTCGTGTCCGATAGGAATATCGTATCACTAGTGCAATGGTTTCACACCTAGTAGTTGAAACAAATCACACTGTGAATGTGACCGAGGCATTTCGTCCCCTGTATCGGGTTCGTAGTCGACTATCAAGGCAGGCTTTATGTCGTGGGCTGGACACAGCGGAAGGAATTCGTCTGCACAACCCCCGCCCTCTGTGTGCCCAAAAAACAATTTGTGCAGGCACTTAACTTCCCCTGACCTACGTACGCACCGACATACCCCATATTTCGAGTGGTCCCAACGATCGGATGACCTAACAATTATGTGATCATTGAAAATTCCACATCCGATCCGAAAACGAAATAAGCCCCAGATAACCTATGAGGTCATTTTCCGTTTACCCAAACAATTGTTTTTTTATGGCTGGATACTGATTTTTGTATAAGTAGAGTGATAATTCAAAGGGAGAAATTCGTCGTGTATATAGCAAATGAAGCGTGAACCGAAAAGCTAGGAAGCACAGGAAAGCTGTTTTGACCTGCTTGGGTCTCATCAGCAGTGCGAATCCATCGACCCAAATGGGGATCGAATTCGGGAACTCATGGGTAGAACGCATGCACACCCATATCCCCTCGGTTACCGGGCAGCTGATCAGACCGTCTCATGCGAAATATACATGGTATAGCACAACCTATCTTTGCGAGCTTGCTGTGGTACGACTACGAATCATTAAAAACGAGCTTGTTCGCCACTCTCTGTTCTATTCGGAATATCGTAATAGAACACAAGTGCGTATTGTACCAACCCACAAGAAAACCGATAGTCTTTCAGAACGCATTGAAAATGCAAAAAACTCCCCGAACGAGGGAGACCTTCACGAATGCCTGAAATGCACAAACTCTGTGTGCGTGAATTCGCGTAGATTAACAGGAAAACATATCTGGGAGAACGTCTCGCAAACAAATTCTTGATTTACCATTTAAGGTTCTACTGACAATCGTACGTAGCCTGACAATGAAATGTTCAGAAGGTACGCGACAGGCTTGAGAACACACCAAAATCACGAACGATTCACAAACCATTCTGTTCAAACCCTATATAGTGTTTGCGCCTCCCCGCCAAAAGAACCGCACAATCAACAGAACGGATTCAATGCCAATCCGGTTGAGCTAACAATGAACACACACGTAGATAGGCGAAAGTCCTGTTAGCAGAGGACGAATGAGAAAAGGTACAGGTTATAGTTACAACAGAGAAGAGGGTGAAATGAAACGAGATGTGTTTTCGACGAGACAACGTGAATTAAAACACCGAGGCACAACGCTCGGTCCGGGATGTCCACAGGCGGACAGAAAAGAAGTCTGTTCCCATAGGACCACATCGAAACGCTGCAGATGAGAGGTTTTGTGTGACACGAACTACGACACAGCAAGAACAACATAACTACTACACGCCCAAATACGAGTGAAGTTTGCTGCCAGCAACTCTACCTCAGCACCCAATGGACGAGCCCGCTCGGCTGTCTCAGTCCGGTCTCTGTTCAAATGTCGACTGTGACCTAGTTGGATACCGGGAACTGGGGCGTCGTCTGGTATCGTGGACGACGACGCTGATGAAGGCTCATTCACCGCCTTTGTCAGCTGATGTGTACGCTTGAACTCGGCCAGGGCTTGGGTCAAGGCCTCGCCACACGTACCTGAACCTGATTCAAGTGGAAAAGCGTGGAGCAAAATGATGTGAAGAGAGAAAAATAAACAAGAACTTCATGACAAGTAGATCAACATCTGTCATGGGTGGGGAACGCCGCGAACTCCGACCGTAGTTGGATGCGATATACACCTCCCACTCCTGGACTGGGACTGTCATTTTAATATACGAACTTGATTGAAACGAGTCAGACTGGCACAGCCATGAATAGAATGTAATCATCAACATTAGCCCATCGACGAACTCTAAGAGGATCTCAAACATGAGACCCCAAAGGCATCATACCGAATTGGTCGAAAGGATAAATAACGGTAAGTCGGATTTTCTCGCGGGTAGCCAAGGAACAAACCTGAGTGGATCAGTGAGACAAAAACCTGGCATTTATCTTACCACCAAACGAACGAATGAGCAAAACCACGGGTTCGAGGGGCAAGATTGGCTAACATTTGAAGTGGAAACATAAAGCAGTGCGGTGACTGACCATACAGCACCAATAAAAATTTCACACCGTATTCATCGTTTCCCGGTGGACCCGGTTAAAACCAATAGATTTTGAAAACGCGGTAACCATATATCTATACGATCATCTGGTTGGGCTGGCCGATTGGATCACTTTGTCCGGAATTTGCAGTAGAATGACCCTCATCTCATCATCTGTTCGGGGACTGTATGGAAACCTCAGATATGTCCATTGCATTGAGTCAAATCAAATTTTTTAACACACCTAAGTGTGATGAACAGCAGACAGGGTGGAACCCCATAGACACGAGGACCTGCTGTTTAGTGGTGGAAACCGGCAACCTAAGCCCCGGGACTTGGAGTGGCGAACCACATAAGGCCCCGATAGGTTAGGCGTCATATTAAACCGGACGACAGCAGAGCTGTCTACCACCAAAGTCGGGTGGCGGTGGCGGGGTTTGAACCCCNATAGGATCTAAAGCACACCGGTGACCGCGCCATCACCAACGGGACTGAGCCAAAAACAATAAAAAACTCGAACGTTTGTGTCAATAGATAGTTAGTACAATGCAAATAAGGCAAAACCTGTTTACCTTTTGCTACAGACCCATCTGAATGCAGTAATGATACTCGTCCCGGAGGCGGGGGGGGGGGGA